TGTTGCTGGAGGATCAGTTTCTAGATGCCTTGGACAGTCACCAACTGAAGATACAATTGAAGCAAGCCCACCCCCCTCTACTAAGCAGGATGCAATGACCAGAGCTCTTGAATTCGAATCCTATGTTAAGTCCAGCACAGAGGTACCAAGGTTGGTATAGTCATCAGGATTCAAGGCCAGAAAAGGTCAGCTTTCAGAGAGGTTTGAGGGACTTTGCTGGCACTGTAACAAACCTGGGCACAAGAAAGCTCAATGCCGGAAACTTCAACACAGGGAAGATGCCATGGCAGGAAAGGCTGCTACCCAGAAAGGTTGTTGGAACTGTGGAGAGCAAGGACATATGAGGAGCCAGTGTCAGAGGAATGCTACCAATAAGTCAACCTCAGGGAAACTAGTAGTGGTTGGTGTTGTGGGATGCCCAGCAACTCCCATTGTGAAAGTCCCAACAGCTAAGTGTAAAATGGCAAGTACATATAGTGTCTTCATGAGAGAAAAGCTGGATGGCCAAAAGTGCAACTTTGTCATAGATTCTGCGTCTCAGCAAACCCTTGTGAGTATCAAGGTTCTGGATCACAAAGGAGTACCAGAAGCCATACAGAAGCTCTGTGGTGTGACAGGACATTATGCAAGGTTGTGTTCGGACCAGTGTGGGTAACTATTGAGCTCATGAGCATAGAGGACACACGCAAAGTATACTTGGCTGACATTGAAGACCCATGAATATTAGGGTTGGACTACTTACTACCGAGGAACTGTGTAGTTAATTTCGATAAAATGACATTGGGAACAACAAAGGCCAAATTCCAGTAAGTGTTGCTGCATCTGTTGATTTGCATGTCACAGCACTTAAGTCAACTATAATACCTCCTATGTCAGAGAAGATAATTTGGGGTAGAATAAAAGAACATCCCCAAGGAAGCCCGATGCTTGTGGAAGCAGAGGAAGACCCATCCAGGCCAGTGGATGTGAAGATTGGAAGGTCACTTGTAGCAGGTCATCAAGTAGTACCCATAACAATGGCCAATTTCTCAAAATGTGAGCAGACACTTAAGGAAGGGGCATTGTTGTGTGTGTGCTAGGAGGTAAAGCCAGTCAATGTTAAGGCAAGAAATACGAAAATAAAGAAAGGACATCCTCTCCCAGAACATTTAACTGACCTCTATAAGAAGAGCATAGTCCATTTGTCATCATAACAGGCTCTTCAGCTTAGGGAACTTTTGGCAAATTATGCAGACATCTTTTCAAAAGGAGATCATGACCTCGACTGCACAGACCTTGTAGAGCACAGAATAAACACAGGCAATCACTGTCCAATAAAGATCCCTCCGAGAAGAATAGCTCCAGCAAAGCAACAAGAGATGGAGAAAGTCATGGATGGCATAATTAAGGAAGGGATAGTCGAGAAATCAAATAGTCCCTGTTCAGCTCCCGTCGTGTTAGTTCAGAAGAAGGATGGGACCCAACGTTGCTGTGTGGACTTCAGGGCTCTTAACAGCACTGCCAAGAATTGATGATACTCTTGATGCCCTAAGTAGAGCCAGGTGGGTTTTGAACT